CACCTCACCTTACCCCACGGATTTCCGTCTCCGGCGGTAAGGCCCTTTGAAGAACGGAGCTAACACATTATAAACCTCCCACAAAAAGGCCGTGCGCGACCGGCCTCAAGCAGTTGTCCCTTGGGCTCTGCGGTCACGCACCCAGGTCGCTAAGACCAACACTAATCCGATTTCCTTTTCAGATTCCTCAAGAAATACCCTTCCACGGTGTGGGCAACCGGGAAGTGATATCAGCCCTCATACCCGTAACAGCACACGAGACCAAGTTGGTCACATTCAAATCCTTCCTACACCTCCTAATAACTCTCTTATCTCCACGACTAACCCTTCTTACGTCCCTTTATCACCTCGCCCCGCTAGTGCGAACGATTCGAGTACGCGGAATGTTATTCCTGGTCTTCTGAAACCACGCTCCAAATTACACGTAGGAGCTTTCAACGTCCGAACACTGTGCCAAATAGGACAACAGGCTTTCCTAGCTAAGACTTTAGAATCTCGCTCCATCGATGTGTGCTGCGTCTCCGAAACGCGCACACAGGATCCTAGTAGTGTCATTCATTTGACCTCACAATGTCAAAGTAACGAACCAACTCGATTCACGCTTCGTGTATCTGGAAGCCCTGATGTTGCTTCCCGTGGCCTCGCTGGCGTAGGTATAGCATTGAGTCCTAGGGCAGAACTAGCCCTCTTAGACTGGATCCCAGTAGACAGTCGTTTGTGTGCTGTCCGACTAAACGGAACAGTAAGGACTCGAAAAGATAGGGACACTCGTCGTTGCCTCTTCGTCGTCTCTGCCTGCTCTCCCACTGACAGCAACTCAGATGATGTAAAAGATGAGTTTTACAGAAAGCTTTCCGACCTTCTTCGAAAAGCTAGGCGTTCAGATGTAGTAATAGTGGCTGGTGACTTTAATGCTCAAGTAGGTAAACTAAGCGAAACGGAAAGACACCTGGGTGGATCTTATGATGCCGCGGCTCAAAGAACAGATAACGGTGACCGTCTGTTGCAGCTATGCTCAGATAACCGCCTGTTTCTTGCAAACACTAACTTTAAGCATAAGGAAAAACATCTTTTAACATGGCGACCCCCTAATTCGTCTCAACGCTGGACCCAAATAGATCACATCGCTATCAGCCACCGATGGAGGGGCTCGATAGAAGACTGTCGCTCATTCTGGAGCACATGCTTAGACTCAGATCATGCCCTAGTGCGAGCGCGTATTTGTCTACGTCTTACTGGACGTAGTAAACATGCTGCAAGGAAACCTCTTAGGGTCCTACTTAATGATAGTCAAGCTAAGAGTATATTTCAGGAACATCTAGAAAAACAGTTAGACAGCCATGTAAGTGATGCCCACCCCGAGGCAGCGTGGAATGACATCCGAAAAGCTGTAGAAACAGCAGTGATGTCTGCAAGTACGGTAAACCATAAGGTTAGGGAGAAACACTGGATCTCTGCAGCATCTACCGCACTGATAGATGCTCGTAAACTCATTCCATCTGGCTCTGAACATGACGAAGAGCGGAGTCAGCTTAAGCGTAAGCTGACTAGAAGCCTACGCAAAGATCGTGAACAGTGGTGGGTAGCGAAAGCAAGAGAGATGGAAAAGGCAGCGGCAATAGGTAACAGCAGGCAACTGTTCAGATTTGTTAAGGAAACTGGTATTAGGAACCCAACTGTTAGCGAAACAATCGCGGAGGAAGATGGACATATTATTCATTCTCAATCCAGGAGATTGGATCGATGGGCAGAATACTTTAGGGATCAGTTCAACTGGCCTTCAGCCACACTTCGGTTCCCCACGATCTCCAGTCGACCTGAATGGCAAGTTGATGTAAGTCCTCCGACTGTTTACGAAGTTGAAAAAGCTATAGGAAATCTGAAGCGTGGGAGAGCAGCAGGCCCTGACAGGTTTACCGCTGAGATTTTTAAGGATGGCGGTCCAGTACTAGCAGCGAGATTGACTGAGGTCTTAGGTAGAATCTGGGAACTGGACGTAATCCCATCTGACTGGTCTCAATCACTGATTGTGCCAGTCTATAAGGAAGGACAAAAGTCCTCCTGTGACAATCACAGAGGAATTAGTTTGACTAATATAGTGTCTAAAATATTAGCTTCAATAACACTTCGACGTCTAACCAATGCTCGAGAAAACCAGGCTGGTTTTCGACCTGGACGTGGTTGTATTGATCAAATATTCACACTACATCAGATCCTAGAACATAGACATACATTCAGACGCCCCACAATGGTAGCATTTCTCGACCTTAAGGCGGCATTTGACTCTGTTGATCGTGAGGTTCTATGGCAGCGTTTGTCACTGAAAGGAGTACCAAAGAAGTACATTAACCTTATAAAGGCTTTCTACTCGAACACAACTGGTCGAGTGAAAGCATATGGCAAACTGTCATCAGAACTGATTACCTCAAGTGGTGTTCGTCAGGGCTGTCCACTCTCTCCATTCTTGTTTAACTTTTTCGTTGGCGTGCTTTTAGAGATAACACTTTCCTCATCTAAATTTCCAGGAGTTGAACTTTTACCGGGAGATCCACTTGACTTAGAATATGCCGATGACATAGTTCTATTTAGTGAAGACGCTGACAGAATTCAGAGTCTGCTGACCACTCTAAGCAACAATGCAAGCATGTTCGGCATGCGATTTTCTCCCTCGAAATGCAAAATGTTGCTTCAGGATTGGGTTGCGTCGACACCCGGACTAGTGATAGGGAGTGAAGTAGTTGAGCGTGTCGACCGCTTCACTTATCTCGAAAGTCTCATCAGCCCTTGTGGTTTGGTATGTGACGAAATCTCAGCAGGGATACAAAAGGCTCGACTAGCTTTTGTCAACTTGCGTCATTTGTGGCGTAGTCGAGATATCCGTCTATCAACCAAAGGACGTGTTTACTGAGCAGCAGTTCGTTCCGTCCTACTTTATGACAGTGAAACATGGCCAGTAAGAGTAGAGGATATTCGTAGGTTACTAGTATTTGATCATAGGTGTCTTCGAAACATTGCTCGTATATCCTGGGACCACCGAGTAAGTAATGCAGTTGTTAGGAAACGGGTACTAGGTAAGGATGGCAAATCAATTGAGGAAGTAGTGCAACTTAATCAGTTGAGATGGCTGGGGCATGTGTTGCGCATGCCCGACCACCGACTGACCCGACGTGCGATGTTTTGTGGTATAGGAATAGGTTGGAAGAAAACTAGGGGGAGGCCAGACTAAAACATGGCACAAATCCATGAAGTCACTGAATAGTGAACTGAGCCATGTTGGTAGATGTAGACTACCTGGTTGGGGACCGCGAGATGATAGCAACCGATGGTTAAAGACCTTGAGTGACATGTCTCAAAATTGTTTGCAATGGCGCAGGTGCATCCACTCTTTGTGTCCTCTCAAACTCTAATCTTCTGAATTCTTCATGTCCTTTATTTTTTTTCCAAATATATTCCACTGGACTATACTCCTTTAATAACATCATCAAACCTTAATGTCTCCTATCTCTACTTATACTTTCAGTACCTCTACCACTATGGGATTTGAATGGATAACTGAATCTCTGTGCTAATGTGGTATGGCAACTCGAACTGATGTACGTACGTACGAAGTTCCACGTTGTTACTGACTGACTGACTGAAGACCGACATTCATTGTTGGTGTACGTAGGATTGGTGGGTATTTCAAAACCTTCGGTCTTATTTGTGTCTATGGGTAGAGACTTAGTAACAAAGATCCACTCAATAACTAGCCTACGGTTTATGATGTTAGGTGACGTGATCCGAAATTGGCCGCGGTTGCGTTCAGCTTTTTATTGGTTAGTTCTGGTAGAGATCGGCTTCGTGCATCTATAACGCGGTCAAATTATACCACGTGTTATGTTTTACTTCCGAGTTCACTTGGTTGAAGTCCGCATGACTATCGTAACCAATGGTTGGAGACCCTGTGTGACGTGGCTGAGAATCTGTCACAATGGCGTCTGTGTATACACTCTTTGTCTTCCCTTAAACCGTAAGATTAAAGTTGCTTTATGTCTTTGTACGAACTAATTCTTTTATCCTGTACTATGTTCTTATATACAATCTTTCTTTTATATATTACTACCATTGAAGTAACTGCTTCTATGAATTTGGTGCTGATCTTTTTGTGCTAATTAGATGTGGCAACTAGGTCCGATGCATATATGTGCCTGGTTCTACGTTACATCTGACTGATTGACTCCTAACTGTACCTGACTGTTTGTAATTGAAAAATGACTGCAGAAACTCAATTATCACGTATCATCTTTTCGATATGATCTTTCGAGTTGGGCATAAAAGGCTATACTGCTATCATTCCGCTTTTTAAAGTATTGAATGTTCACTATTTACCATTTGGTCATGGCGACTGTCACTGATCAGTTCTTTTAGACTATGGTAGTTTACCTTTGTGTTTTGCAACTAATTTTAGCTAAACACATCTAGTGTTATAACTCTCGGTATTACTTCGTCTAATTTTATAACGCTTAAACGATAATCTACACTAGATCCCTCCCAGTGTCTATTCTACAGGACTTCAACACAACTCAGATCAAGAACACGTAATCAGCCTGACCAGAACGTAATATATTTTCACACCCGAAACCGACACAATCCACAGCAATGAACAATCAATAATAAATATAGATGTATATATGTGAGTCACAATAATAAGGGTAAGGGAATATATAACTTATCTGACACTTGTCAGACTGTCTACATGTCTGACTAAGCAGACAACCAATCATGACCATTCTCACCCACACAACACCTAGTCAATCCTGATTTTAAGGATTTCACAGGCTCAGCACACTAAATCAAACTTAACCTTTAAGATACTGTGTGTCCATTCGGAAGTGGGCATTTATACACTTCCAAAGGTCGAATGTGACACATCATTCGATTTACAATGTCGTATTTGCTGCTCCTGCGATCAAATATTAATTTTTCATTCCCTTTTTTCCTTAATTTTAACTTTTTTGTAGCCTGATCTCAATCTGTCTGTTTTTCAAGATGGCGCTCCTCAGCTCCCTGATACACTCTGTCTAACTGATGATGATGCACTTGATATAGCTGCCAACTGTGCTAACTCTACGGGTGTATGCTTGGATATGCAAACAAAGGAAAACATTGATGATTGTAGCTCTGATTTACCCCATCACTTTCACAATCTATCCATAATCGGCTCTTCTCGGGCTAATCAGATCTGGGCTGTTGGTGCAGAGCGTCGAATAAGTACAACACCTGGAAGTGATACTGCTGGGGGAAGCAATTGCAGTTCTGGGCTGCTTTCTTGTTTCGGAGACTCACATTGTAGTGTTGGGTCAGGCAATTTCAGTGCCAACGGAGTAAATTACAATAGCGCAGCCAGTGGAGAGGCTCATTCGTTTGCGGGTAGTGGAGTCACTGGGGACATAACTCCCCTACCCGGACAGCTTGGACACCTCACTGCTTCCAACGGAACAGCCGTCTCTGGAAGGTTAGAGAACCAACACTCTCAAGAAAACGCCAACATGGCACCATTTGATTTGTTATCCATCTGGGAACCTCGCCAAAACAATTCACATCACGTTTGGTTACCTGATCCTTCACAGGATCCAGTTACAGCAAATACAACCGTAGGAAATTGCGCCGCCACCAGAAATGATTGTCAGGAAGAACAAGATAATCATAACCATTTAGGTTTAGGAATTGATAATGGAGCCGAAAATGAAGTGCTCCCATGGAATTGGGATACAGCTTGTGGTTTAGCGGTTAGTAGTCTATTTTAAAAGTTTTATGTATATAATCTATTTGTAGGTAAATATTATATTTTTTCTGTACCTTCTCATGTAAATACTAATTAACCACTGTTAATGGTTTTCTGGAGAATTTTTAAAGTGGATAGACTTGAATGAGTATCTTCTTTTCAATCCATGGCTCCTGTATTGGCACGGCTTTAGTCCATTAAATTTTTAATGCACAATCACGCCTACAATAATTAATTCAGTTCATTCTTAGTGGTTATTTATGTAATACTAGTTCCTCATCCATATGTTCATAGATAAATCAAGTCAGGAAAATATGAATCAAAAAGTTTTTGGTATCAAATCATTGTGATTGTGAGAAAAAAATAGCAGTATCGTACGTAATATACGTGTAGTCCAGACCTTAAGTATATGTAACTTGGAAGAACAGAATATTTCTTAAGAAAGCTGAGGTGTATAGGCTACAGTGCAACGCACCTTCAACCTAATCTAAAATCCACCATTAGTAACGCAGACTAACATGATCGGTTTTGTTTCTGAATCTATTTAGGTTCTGTTCTCCACTCAACTGTTCGTCCTGATCTTCGCCTTCATTAGGATAGTAATCTTAGCTGAGCCGGCGGCTTAGTGGTTAAGGTGTTCGAGTAGATCACAAGTTCGAGTCACACTTCACCTATTTTGCTTTGGACAGTCTTGTTTCACTATCATTAACATGTGTGGCTAAAAGCCGAATACACAAATCTGTACTTGATAAATGAGTTACGTCTCTGACCATACCTATATTCAATTTTTCTGTTACACAAATATTATAATTATGTTCCGTGTCAATTAAAACATCAAAAGTATTATAACTGGCAAAATTTAATACAATGGTTACTCTAGCATTCGGTCTATAAAAAATGCTGAAATCTTTTCTGTTGTTTAATTTCTATAGAAGTGACAACTGATTTAGATAATTTAGTGGTTATATAATTAGGTGTGTTAATAAAAAGAAATGACATTTTTCCACACATATCGAATAAAGATGAATTCCCATTGTTGCTTTTTGTTGTAGAATACAACTTCATGGCGTGATTTGTTTCCCGAATGTAAAGACTCCGAACCGACTAACTTACCGTATAACAACTCAGAAACCGATGGTATAAACCATTCAAATGCACCAGAGTTTGGAGCTCATGCACCTTCAGGTCTGTGGTCATCAACTATACACAACGTTACGTCATCTATGTCAATTTCAGCATCTTCGCCTCTGAGCACACAACCTGCCATTCTTTTTGGGTCTGCAATGGGCCTTGTTTCGGAATCGAATGACATCGACACCTTACAACATTCACATCGAGTTCTTCAAGATCAGTCTGACGCATTTAATGACGTTACAATGCCTAGATCAAATGCATCATTGTTTGCACAATCTAATTCTACTTTGATCAATTCTCGTCCAACTGCTTTTCGTGGCTCATCAGTATCCAATTCTGATTTGAATTCCATGTCCGATACCATTACATCAAATCTATTCCCATTACCTTCAAGTACAGCCATGCCAAATTCATTGCTTGCTATTCCTCCACTGTTTCTTTTCGGTCAGTCAGCTGAGTCTGAGTGTTCAGGACTTATCACACCTTCAGCAAACATCAGTACTTTACCAGCATCATCAACACCTCTTCAAATTCCTGTTTCCTTTGTTGGTGGTCAAGGTTCTGCTTTCGGACCACCCTTTCAGGTATTCATGTCTTGTACTCACCAATCCCTTCTGTTTTTAATACTCATTTCCTTTACACTTAATATAAGCTAGATTTTGAATGCTGGTTTCACACATTAAACAGCTACTTAAACAATTAGGTTACTGTCAATTAATATTCAGAGATGTATTTGGAGTATTTTTATGGTTTTATTATTAGTTATTAATTTTCGGTACTTGTACTTAACAGCGAGCAGTGTTTAGTTCCTAATAGTCTAATGTACTCAGCTATAAGTTGTGGACTTCGTGGCGCCGTTTATTATTGTTATTATACTACTGTGTTTGCGTCGATGGGATTTATTAGATTTAGAAAGCGTTGTATTTGTCATGTATAATACACCTGTGAAACAATTGTTTTGAGGCAAATGACTTGAGCTCTATAGAGATTGTGATGAAATGATTGTTTTCTCAATAGATATACATCAGCATAAAAATCATTTACTAACTGTCAAACACATAATTGCTTGATTTCTATATTCATATTTCACTCGTCAGCGTTATCAGCTTTTCCCTTTTACAAATAACCTTACTGTCTGACTTATCAGTAATCTATCCTCCACCAGGAGATTCGTTGATTTAAGATACGCAAATGATATAGTCTTACTTGATTAAAACACTAACAAAATTAAAAGATTACCCTAGTCAACGGTGCTCTCTTTTTAAATGCAAACCTTGTTTCAGGACTGATCTACGTTACAGCCTTGACTAACGATAGAGAATGAAGTGGTTGAGACTTACTTTGTAAGTCTGGTCAACCTGACGCCTGATGAAATCTCGGAACGGATTCATTCGCCAACTTGTGTCACCTGTGGCGTAGGTGAGATATATGTATAGCAACCTAATAGCATGCAAACTACATAACATTTCTCTCTGTTCTACTTTATGATAGTAGAACGCGGTCTTTGAGGACATAGGTAATTTATAGGTTACTAGTATTTGATCATGAATACCTTCGAAGTGTTGCTCATATATGTCGGGACCATGGAGTGATTAATTTTGAGGTTAGATTAAGTGAAGTAGATGAGTGGTAAACTGATTGACGAGATATTGAACGTTTATCGACTGAGATATTTAAGAGATGTGCGATATATGTTCATCCAGTGACTACTTCAACGGTCGATGATGGTTGATATGGGAGTAGTTTGGAAGGAAAGTAGGGTTGGGTGGACAAATTAAGAGCTGACATCTGTGGATAAAGACACTAACCGTTGAAGTGAATCATGTATATAGGTGGAGATTACCTGACTAGTAACTGGATGACTGTTGTGATCAATGATTAGAGAGTTTGAGTGAGATTGTTAAGAATCGTTGTGAGTGGCTGAAGTGCACTCGTTCTTTGTTTTCCCTTAAATGGTAATTTTTCAAATTATCTTATAGAATTGTTTGGTGCAATAATTGATACTTCTTTGTTGAATCCTATGTTCGATGTGTGATATCTTTTGTTAGAAGAAATATTGTTACTACCTGTATTACTGTAGTATTCGTCCTGAAAATTTCATTTAACTGTACTGATGAGGTGTGACAACTTAAACAGTTATATATATATATATATATATATATATATATATATATATATATGTCCGGTTCCATTTTGCGTACGACTGACTCACCTTGCACTCACTGTGATTGTTCAAAATTTTATTACTCTCTTGTTTACAGGAGAATCTAGTATTTACACCCAATAACTCAATTATTGATTTTTATTTATTTACTACAGCTAAGTGAGGCTCACATTATGAATGATATTTATACAAAATATCCAGGTATTTTGCCGCCACCTGGCTTATGTGCTGTTAGTTCACCTTCATCGAGTAATTGTACTACACCAACTTTATCCTCAGTTGCGGCTGTATCAGCCACATCTTCCGTTTCTCAGTTACCACCAGGAAATTTCGAAGGAAATCCACTTTGTGAATCCAGTGTTGTAAACAACAATAATTTTCCATTTGGTTATAATATGCCGCCCACATCTCAACTAAATATGATGGACCCGCAATCAATGGCTATGGCTATGACACTTTTTATGTCACAAGGAGGTGCAGCTAATAATAATAACAATAATAATAGTCAGATTCCTCCACCACTTTCACAAGGTTTGACTTTGATCCTTTTTACTGTTTGCTTTTTACATTGCAATCTCCACTTCCTGTGACTATTGTATAGTATCGCCTAGTTTAAACTAGTTACTTTTTATATTGAGATCAGATTTTTTACAGGTTGTTTTTCATTCTTAATTATGATGTTCATCATTCATCGACTTCAGTTGTAAAAATTAAAATCCACGAGATGGCTGTTTTTACTTAGATCGAAATTCAGTCCATGTGTAAGGTACGCACAACTGATAAGTCATAATTTATGACAAAAATACTATATAGTACTTTCTAATTTTCAACTGTGTTCATCAGCTGAAGGCAGTTTGTGACAAAATTACCTACCGTGATTGTTATCAGTTGAAGAATTTCTAAATAACGACTCACTAATACAGTAATACAATATTATGATGTATAAAACCCATTAAGAAAAAATTATTCTGTTTTCTAGACTAAAATCATGATAAAGTCTATGGTGTCATTAACAATAATTTACTCCGTATATCCCAGTGACAACATATTTTGAGTTGTACAGGTAGATGGACTCTATAACTCGGACACCAAACTGTAGTGAATAACATTTAGTACATGTTTACCAATCGAAAAGGCGTGCTGCATTATGTTTGAGAACTGCTTAGAAGGAATCCTGCACTAAAGTTACTTCTAAGTGGACTACAAAAGTAGTATAATCATAGATGAAAATATATTGTTGAATTAAATGCTTCGATTACAAACACTGGGTCGTAAATCTCTTTTGCTTGTCATGTTCTACTTAATTCAGTTTGAGAAAGCAAATATTTTGTCGCTAGACATTTCATGGTCCATCTTCTCCAGCGTACAAATCTTTACTTTTATTACTGAATAGCACCAACTAACGCATCACTCGTTATTGCGAACTACTTAAAAAGTGTCTGACCAACGTAGTGAACATGAAATGAGATGATATACCAAAAATATTACTCCAAAAGTATTACCACCCTGCGTACGAAATGTAAATAGAACATTGTTAAGTTAAAAATCTAATAAATTTCAGCAAAATATATAATGTAATTAAACAGTAAATGTTTTTACAAATGTTAGTACTTTCAAAATGGAAATTTAGGTTGAACTGACCGAAATGTTAATTTTCTGCATCACCTTATAGCTCTCTTAATATGCTTATTCTTTTTATCAACGTCTAGTTGAAACTAATATAAAATTGTTTGCAGAAGTTGTAGTCTTGAAGCGCACTGCTTTTTTTTGAAAAAAAGTATGAATTGATAATCACTGAATCCTTAATATTCAATTATTAGTAAATGAATGTTCTGAATGGAATCTATAAGTTAGAAACCTAATACCGTGCTCGCAATTGCTATCTGTGGTGTTCACCTATCAAAATGTTATCGGCAGTCATTTGCTGTCTTTTTTCATGTTCAATCAGTTTAATATTTCACTTTTTGTCAGTAGCACAGACTTAATTTGAAGAGTGTTTCTGATTGTTTATTTCAGCACCACAATGGAATCATGTTGCATTTATGATCATGCAACAATTAGCTAATGGTATGGCAAACAATCCAGGCTGTGTTGTATCATCAGCTCCGAATACAGTTATTGATAATATTACACCATCCGCAAACGGTAATAATATCGTAGATCAATCACGTCTTGCCGCTGGAGCTTTTGCTTTTTTCCAAGCTCAACAACAGTTAATGAATGCTGCACAACAACAACGACATAGCACTGCTCTGAGTGGTGGTAGCGTTGTATCAAATAACTCTTCAAATTGTATTGCTCCAACTGTTACTTCGTCGACACCCCTAGTTGCTCCGTTCACATCTAGTGTTGTCACAAATTCATCTAATTATTTTGGAGGCTTGTATTCTTCCGGTTCAGTTGTTGCTGGATTAAACCCGGGCAACTTTTCGATACCTAATGTGAGCATTGTTTGTTGTTGTAATAATTGTTTTGGTGAAAATTAAAGCTCTTTTTCCATTAATCATTTGGTACTTAGTATCTGTGTGTATATGTCATGGTTTTATTTTTTGTCTTTTAGGGAATAAATCTATTACCACCAGTTGGTCTTCTACACCCGGAAGCAAGCGGTAGTCCCAACTCGGTGGCTGGAGATGTATCTAGTTACAGTCGTATGCCTATTTCGCAACCCCCTGGAGCTTTAGCTGTTAGCATGCATATTTCTCCAACATCACCATCAGGACTTCAAAGACCTCCTTTATCTGTTTCAACCGGGTTTTCATCAGCCACACCATATCCATTCAATTTCGATGGTAAATTAAACTATTTCAATGGTTTACATTTTTAGTTGTTTATACTTGTACTACTTTTTAATTCTTTCATTATCACAATTTTGAGCACTCATAGTGAAATAACACTGACTTGCAGCCTGGAGGTCGTTAAGTTGAATGTACAATAACATTAATGGACTCAATCACCTTTATTTTTTATGTATATGAAAGTCTACTTGGTTGGGAGATATAACCTATCCTCAATCAATATGTACGTTGAATGAGGTTGAAAGAAATATAAAGGCGGCCGAACTGAGACGTGGCGTCAGTGGATATGGCCATTGATCATTATGCTGGCCATTTTTTTAGCTATAGGCTACTCTTTGTTTCCCTTTAAATCCCAAGTTTTGAAAGTATCTTGTACCTTTTATCCCACAAATTTATTTTTCCTACTCGAATCATGTCTTGTATGCCTAATCAATAATCATTAACGTTCCTCATAATGAACTGACTTTATTTAAACACATAAACATTGGTACTAGGAGGCACCAAATATATATGCGCCACACTTTGTCATTCGGTTTGTGTGAGGGTTGAAATACAGCCCGGGCTCCCAAATCAAACTGAATTGCATCACTACAATATGCTGTATACTTTATATGATTATTTCGTGGAAAACAGTTGAGATTTACACCGTGGTTTCTAACGGTGTATTTTTTTAAAATGTGTTAATTTTTCACTATTTGACTTTTTTGTTCAAGTAGAAAGGATTATATTTCGTTGACATACATTGCAATGAGATACGTTTTTGGGTTAACACACATTTGTGCCATAGTCTATGTTGATTTTGACTGACTGATTAACTAAACCAGAAGTGACTTTGTTTTCCATCTGTCCAATCTTTTTTTATATACTTCAGCTTAAGTAACGGAGTATCATTCGTTCTTGTGAATTGGGCATAGTTATTAGCTGAGTACACTTACCTACACGTCTTTCGCAAATTGCATAAATGTGGCTTAAATCTAGGTCAATTCAACGAAAATTTGTAGCATCTTAAACCGCGCTTTAATGAAAACTTTTTCCATTAGCTAGCTAATGCTGAATATTGATAATTTATTTTATAGCATCGATGCATAAAAATCGTGCTTTTGCTGCCGCCTTTGCTGCTGCATCGGGTGTGGCTGTTACTGCTACCCCACCGCCTGGCATGGGTCCCAACCCTAATCTTCGACCTACTGGAGTGAACCATCCGGCCCTCTTAGGAACTAGAGCTCCAGTTCCACCACCCCTTATGCCTGTAGTTACTGGTCGTAGTCCTGGTCTATTATCTGCCGTACATTCTCAAACGGTTCAACAAAGTCCAAATTATGCTGCTGCTCTTCAATCACACCAAAATATCAACCAGCGACTTCCAGCCCCTTTACTTTCACCACTTCCTTTGACTTTATCTGGTACTGCTTCTTCAAGGCCTAGTTCGGTTGTTGGTAAGTTTGATCAAAGAGGCGTATAACAACTTTATAGTTATTTACTGAATTTTATTGCTTATCAGTGTTAATTATTGTATACTGAAATGCTAGACATCTATCTGGTTTCATTCAAGACTTATATTTAAATTACTTTTAGGTGTGAACATTACTACATCTACTCCACTCGTTGTTACCACTGTGTCTAGCCGAAGTCAACTTTTGGAGGATTTTCGAAATTCAAGTGCACGATTCCAACACGTGCACCTGTCGGAGTTACGTGATCATATGGTCGAATTCGCCCGTGACCAACATGGATCTCGATTTATACAACAGAAATTAGAGACCGCTACTACCGCTGAAAAAAATTCAGTCTTTAATGAAATACTACCACATTCTGGCAAACTAATGACTGATGTATTTGGAAACTATGTGATACAAAAGTTTTTTGAATTCGGAACAAAAGAGCAAAAAGAAGTGAGATTTATTTTATTATTCATTATTCAGAAGTTAAATTTTAAGTTCCATTGTCCCACCAAACATTTTTTCAGTAATTTGTTAAATTGCCAATTTAATTTGTTATCCGCATTAATCGTAATTGTTTTACTAACAAATTCACTATTTCTTGATTCACTTAATAAGATCCATTAAAAAAACCCTTTCATGTGTATTTTTATTCGAGCTGTGCTCATTTTATTCAGTCAGCCTAGACTATAGATTTTTCTAGTTTGAATTACACAATGGTAGTTCTAGTGTCGTCTTGCCTTCATATTCTTTTGTTACCTCTTGCTCTTCACGTACTTTTTCTATGAGTAATCAACCATGAGAATGGATTATCTGAATTATTTCTAACTTTTTGCCTTTTATCAATCTACCTTTATGGTGTCTCTGAGCTAAATCAACAGTTTTCTGTAAGTTTTATAGTGTTTAGTACTTACAATCTTTTTTTCCAAGCAGTTAACAAGTCGCAATCAACTACGTTTATTGTTCTTGCTTTATTTTTATCCTATGATCAAATAACGATTGTAATTATTCCCACATAACAATAATTTAATGATCAAGAACATTTGATTTTCAGTGACTGGTTTTTCATAGGCTTAAATAGTGTTTAACTTACTCCTACCGTTTAGACATATGAATTGCATCAATGGATGTAAAAAAATGTATGGCGCGAAAACGAATGTTATGAATTCGGTCATGATTCGATCCTACGGAAATCTTAATATGAATAATGGAGAATCTTAGGATACAGATCAAACTAATGGAAACTCGATAAATGTTCCGAGCGTGACACACGACATCATTGCAGTTTTAATAATTCACACTCCAAATGTCGATACAAAAGAACGGACTTTCAGGACGGTTTCATTCTCTAGGTGGAAGTCGAAAATTGAGATGGAACAACTCTGTTTGTATGGTAACACGCAATGACCTTGGGACCCAATCGAATTAAGAAACTAAAAGTAACAACGCCCAATCAGATAGCCACAAAGGTCTTTACGATAATATAAATTTTTAAAAATGTTGTCGAGTCTATCCTTTAAAAATAAGACTAATACTTAATGACAAAAACCATATAACTTGTGATCTCGTTAGCTAACGTATAAACTTGTACTTGGTTATCGATTAGAACATTGATCTTCAGCGTCAGCTTCCTAATCATAACTTTTTCTTAATTTAGCTTCTCTCTCAACGTTTACAAGGTCACGTCGTTGAGTTTGCTACTCAAATGTATGGTTGTCGTGTTATACAAAAAGCATTAGAATCTGTACCAGCCGAGGCAAAAATACACATAGTTGGTGAACTGAGACCATTTGTAACACGATGTGTAAAAGATCAAAACGGGAATCATGTTATTCAAAAATGCATTGAATGTGTTCCACCTTCAGAACTTGATTTTATTATTTCAGCTTTTCGTGGCCAAGTATGTTTCCCCCTCATTATTTCTAGTTTCTGATCCGTTTTACAATACAGGAAAAGTTATTTTTGGTATATTTCTTGCCTTGATGACTACCTGCTTTATATTCATTTAAATTCGTTTCAAAATGTTTGAGGTTTGTTTCTCATTCTTCAAATCTCAACATGTTGCTTCAGAACTGATTGGGGTCAACTCGTAATATAACGTTAATGATTGAAGTAGTAAAGTGTGTTGACCATTTTAATTTCTCGACTTCATATTCACTATTCTGTTATAGTGTGACAAATTGAACTAATTTACATTTATGGCAGGTCCTACGTTGTCTATGAAGAACTTAATAATAGAAATTTAAAAAGTGTCTTCAAGTCGCTTGTAAACACTGAGTTCTTGGCTGCAAAATTTCGTATAGCTTTTTTCCTGCCTTTACTTACCATAAGGTTTTGAGCTGCTTAAGAACCTTTTTGAAAAATAAGTTTAGCAAATATGATGTATAATCCTTCAATAAATGGTACTGTGTCATAACGGTTGTACTTCGTGAATAAAATAAAAGCTTAAGGATACAATTCAAACTCGAGTTTTTGTATATATATATATATATATATATATATATATATATATATATATATATATATATATATATATATATATATATATATATATATATATATATATATATATATATATATAATTGCTACATACCACTGTCTCAGCTGGGTTTGTAAGTCTATCATTGATATCAGTGTAATAACCGCTTTCACAATTTACATATTTGATGGTTTCTAAACCAGTCTCTTATTGGCATATGTACACTTTGTGTATATCGCCTTAAGCCACGAGCATTATGTGCAGAGATAGATGGTGGCTTGGAGTTGAACTTGGGACGCGGGTTTCATCCTATTTGGGACTCGTCGGTTGGGTGTACCTGCATTCCAGAGTTGATATTCATTCCAGGACTCGAACGTAATATCTTCCACTTCAAACGCCACTAGATTGTGAAATGTTATGAATTTTATTCATTTTTGTTTAAATAAATAAATAAATAATAAGTTTTATTCTCTCTTGCCGGCCGATTTTGAGGGATATTAGAACTTTGAGAAGAAAGCGCTCGTCAACTTATTTCTGAATACTACAGGTTGATCTTGATTAAAAAAACTTTCTCACAGCACTAAGAATATCCTCTTTACTTTGCCTACATATTCGGCCACTTATGAAGCGGTATTTTCAGAATAAAACCTCTATCGTTAAATAAAATATATACCTGATTATTATTTTTCTATTATACCTTGTTAAGGTGGTTTTACTTTCATCACATCCCTATGGTTGTCGAGTTATTCAGCGCATTTTGGAACATTGCCTACCGGAACAAACACGTCCTATTCTTGATGAACTACACAAAGGTGTGGAACATTTAGTCAAAGATCAGTATGGAAATTACGTCATTCAAGTAAGACTTCAATAATGTAATTATGTTAAACCATATATAATTTATCAATTTTGTATCGATTAAATCAATCTCTTACAATTCCCTACCTATAACAAACATCAAAACGTACATACAATATTGTCGATTTATTTATTTCATACTAGCAATATTACCTCAGTCAACATTGAAAGCAAACAGATTGATCAGATTGTGAATCTTCATCGAGTGAGGTCGTATTTGCGTACAGATCTCCAACACCTATCTACATCGACCTGTTGTGTTGGTTGGATTAAGAGTAACTTCAGAGAAAGCTAGTGACGACCAAAAACGATGTGGATCACTTCATGAAGTTATTGACTGTTGGTCTGAGCCATGTCGATCCACTCGATAACCGAGATCAATTACAATGACGTGGAAATGCATTCAATCTTTATCCTCCTCTAAATACCAAGTTTCAACATTCCTCATATACTATCATTTCATTTCGTCTTTTCAAACCATGTTTTCAATGCTTAATTGTTTTTACGAGCATCTCGTCATCATTACAAAACATTTTGTTAATTTTGTCTCATTGTTTTGATGTGGTATATTAACTTGATCAATACCCGTTTTTTGCTAAAATCTACATTGATTGTGACTAATAAACTAATTATGGTGTAGCATTGGCTTTGAAACGGTAGAATTTTTATTATTGCAACTAATCATAGAATTGTTAACAAAATCATTCATTGTAATCAGCTCTCATGTGTATGCTAGCAACAGTTAGTACTGTATGTAAGTATGTCATTGAATAATGTCTTAAGTCATTAAGTTTTAAGCCTAATTAAGATATAATCTTGTGTATGCACTTCAACTATATTATATCTTTCATTTATCGTGCATTTAATCTATTCCTTTTTTGTTTGACAAACCTTCTGTAACATTAAGGCTAATAAAGTGTTTCATACCTATAAAACAAAAAAGCCATTAGAACTTATAGTAGATGCATAATTACCTCATTAACGACATAGTCCAATTGTACTACTAAGCATCTCGGATTTCAACTAATATTGAATAGCAAACTGTTAATGTTACAAATTTTTACTTTATAGTTGTTAAATTATATATATATATATATATATATATATATATATATATATATATATATATATATATATATATATATATTAGTCATCTGTATATGTATATTTTTGTTTGTTGCTTATTTAATTATAGCATGTTTTAGAGCATGGTTCAAATGAGGATAAATCACGTATTATTCAAAGTCTACGTGGTCGTGTATGTGCTTTAAGTTCGCATAAATTTGCATCGAATGTTATGGAGAAAGCGATTGCCAACGCTGTACCATCTGAAAGAGCTGTATTAATTGAAGAAATTTTACATCCAATCTCTAATGTGAATATTAATGGAGATGCCTCGTCAGTAACAACTAATAACATCTCTTCATCATTAGTTGATATGATGAAAGACCAATATGCAAATTACGTAGTTCAACGTATGCTAGAATTAGCTGATACTGAACAACGTCGTGTATTAATTAACCGAATCCGTCCTATGCAAAATGTTCTACGCAAATTCAATTATGGTAAGCATATCATAGCTAAATTAGAAAAATATAACAATGTAGCTGGGAATAACACCACTACCGGAAAAAGTTCATCTGCAAATAATAATAACAATACTAATTTATTAGTTCCAAATAATCCTTCCACCAATCATGTTTCTAAAACTTCCAATAATAGTAGCAGTAATAACGGCAGTGGTAACAACAATGGCAGTTGTAATAATACCAACAATAGTAATAATGGTGGGACCCCAGTGGTCAACAAATCAGCTGGTTCGAACTCTGAAAGTAATGGTATGAATACATCACAACAAAACGATTCTTCTACTACCACCATCACAACAACAACAACTACACACAAATCATCAAATGACAAATCTAATCATCGAACGTAGAGTTTATTACTATTGCAACTATAATAATCTGTGTTGCTTTATGCTACCACTACAGTGTAACGACGAACAGGGATAAGCGAATTGGAGCACCGTTTAATATTAATTTCTTATTTGCCCATATTCCAAATATATTTATTAGTTTAGTTTTGTCTCTTCATATACATATATATATATATATACTGTTTGTGGATTGTTATAATTCTCTTATTTTTGAATTTTCTTCTTCAACAACCAGTCGTTCGACTCTGTCGTTACATAATGTACACTAACTAGCTTTCGTTTTCTTGTCTTTATTGTAAAAAAACAACACAACACCAACAATACATCTCGCTTCTTGTCATTTTGATATGCACTCATTACGTGTTTGCAGTCGCTTTGAACTACTACTTGCACATCACTAATTCTTCACTATCATCATCAGCTTATAACATCTTTCTGACATATGTTTTCTGATACGGATCGCTTCATAGACAATTGTAGCTTGAAAATTCCCCCATTCCTTGTTTATTTATTTGTTTGTAAATGTCTCTTGGCTGAATACAGTGAAATTAATGTGTGTGTGTGTGTAAGTTTCATTGTGATATGAACAAAGCATTATCTCTTAGCCTTAGTTTAAGCTTTTGTTTTAGTGCTTATTCATGTAGTGAAAGCCACTCTTTGTATCTATTTATATATAAATGTAAATTTTGTTATACAACTAGTCCCTTCTGTTTGTCTGCCTGTTTCTTCAATCTCAATTTGTTACCGATGATATATATATATATATATATATATATATATATATATATATATGTTTGATTTGTCTAACTTGATACACATGTACAGTGTTCAACCTTTAGAAATAAGATTCCGCTGGATTCTATATATCCCAGTTGTAATTATATACAAAGAAATGTGTGTATAATGTATATTGATAGTTTCTTTCATGGTTTTTCTTGGATCCTTATGTGTATACCAATTCTGGCAAAATTATTTTACACCAACCCATGTGTTTCCACCGTTTTCTTTCTTTATTCAACACTTCTTTCAAATATCATCATCTTCGAATATTTGTATTAATTTTCAGATTGTACACTTTTCATTCGTTGAATATATATATATATATATATATATATATATATATATGAACTTTTCACATGTGCATACTGTTATGACGTGTATATTGTACTGGGATCTTGTCTTGTTCGTGTCATCAATTTCATATTTAAAATCATATTGTCAAATGCACTTATTGCTTACTGTCTATCACTAAATTTTAACACATGTTCTTCACCTCTTGTTTGTCCTTTCAGTACTAAAGTTCATTAACTTTTTATTCACGTATATGTTATATATGTATGTAAATTTCTTTTTGAATCCTTCCTCATGTTTAAGAAAGAGATGGGTTTGTACAAGCTTTGATCTTTTGTTGTATTTGTATTACACTTGTATGTGTGTGAATTTGTGTATATTTACTCATGCTTTTATCAATAATTAACAGCCTCTTCTAACACTACTTAAAAAATTAATTGCTCTAGGTTAATTTTCCCCATCTAGTAGATAGCTTGTTTACAAATTTCAAAATTTTAGCTGTCGTACTTATTAGCCTCCTCTCTCTCCTTCAAATACACACAAACAATTCAATTTTGCATCTGTAATCGTAACTTTTGTTGGAACTTGATTTTTCATTAGTGATGTCACCAAGATTGAAACATCTTAATATTCTTGAAAATTTAATTATTAGTCCCATGTCTTATTGTTTGTCTTAATGCATTGTCATGGGATTTGTAAATTATCTCGCATACTCACATATAATACAACTGAATATTATCATACAATTTAGTTATTCGTTACTTTTTTTGTATTTTCCTTAGTAATCATCTACCTATTTACGCTACTAATAGTTATCATAATTTTTCTTAAGTGTTAACTAATTATTCTCCTGTTTAGTTATAGTTATCGACTACTGCAGAAATATGTTTAATTGAAGTTATCTGTAAACGATGGAAGGAACTTATGGTGTGAGTTCATTGAATGTTGAATTATGTAGCGATAAAGGTTTCAGTGTTGGCGTAATCCACTCACAATATAACTCTGATCGATAAGCATTTATGTCTTTGGATGTAGAGTGACGCTCCAAAATCATTAAGGACTCTGCTAACCCTTAAGCAACTCAAGAGGAAATATCCTTCAACGATGCGAGTAATCGGAAAGTGGCTATGTTTACTAGCACTCAGCTTTATATTATTCACAATCAATCCTCCTTAGGGATGTTTTGATGGTTCTGGCTCTGTCGACACCGTATAGTTAAAACGACTAGTTTTGATTGATACATTGCAAAGATATTGATTCGGATTGTAAGTTGCTTTCTTTTTCTCTAATCGTCTTCATAATTAACCTTATCTGTTCCAATATTTCTACACTCATTAATACAGGCGAGTGTTCAATCGTTGAATTAAATAACTTATAAAGTCGATAAATTGTATGGACATTCTGGAACTATATCCTTTCTATTTGTTGATAATCTGTTGCTTCATGCATAAAGCACCACTTTCATAGAAATTTGCCGTAGTGAACAGGGTATCGAATTTAAGCAGAGTTGTATCGTGGCTATTGATGGGATACGGGACACGCGTTTTAACCTGTTTAGAACTCGTCATTTGAGTGTCCTACACATATACCAAAACAGTGATCAACTGCAGCTTATAACATCAACGAAAACATTCGAGCAACCAATGCAAATAAATCAGAGTATTGAATTTTGTATGGATTAGATGATAATAGAGTTTTTTTGCAATTGACTGATCACTGAGTAGTGACCATTGTATTTGTTTAGGGCTGATCGGATTCTCTCAATCAAGATGCAATATGGGAACTAATATAGCGGACGACATTGTGTGTACTATGTTTTTATGTTAGATTGATTGGGACCAGTTGGCATCTGGAAACTAGTCGAACCTATGATGATAGACTATCATAGACTCCACGTCCAAAATAATCTCTAATTAATACTAGTGAACCTCATCGACTGGTAATTTTGTGACTTATTTTCTCTTTTTTCCCTCGCCCCATATTTTCCTTTCCGTAGACGTAATAATTCAATTTCTCGACATTCATCAACGTAGGGTCAATCACATATATGCGTTTGGCCCAATTGTCATGCCATATCACAATGAGATGAATGGCCTAAGATATTGAAATAATATAGTAGCAATGATAATCAAAAAGGCTAAGCTTTGAGAATATTGTTCGAAAATATCGAATATGGAGGTAAGTATGAAGTAATACTGTAATTTTAAGATAAAAATCGAACACTTCACCATTTTCATCAATCCTTATCCGAAGCTTTCAACAAACCATCAGGCGAATTTATGAATTTTTGTTTTCTGAAATTGTTTCAAAACATAATCCTTAGTTCATTTATTAATGCTTCGTTGATATTTTCCCTGAATTCTTACGTGTATATCTAAATCAATGCAGTAGTAGTGGGACATGTAGTTGTAACCTTCAGTCATTTATGTTTCATTGCTTTGAATTATTTCTCATTTTGGTCTGTATTTTTTCAACATCTCAACTGAATTTTAAAATCAATTTATGCATAGTTTACATTCTTTTCTTTTTAGAAAATGTGTGATATATGGATCAGTGAGATATTTATAAGACCTTCTGAGAGATTAGTTATCCGTTAAATATACTTGTCTGTATATATTTCTAAGACATGCTTATGTATTTTGTGAACATGACCAACAACATCAATTCGATCAAACTAGTAGAATGTTGATAATTGTCCACATCATAAATTGATCAGGAATCTGGCAACGGTTTAGAGCTGATTTCTTGTCACAATAAGGTATTCCTTGCATAATCCTGGTATTCAGTGGATGATTGATATAATCATGCCGCTGTTGAACAGTCTGTGTAGGAATGAGAGAGATATCAGCATCCTACAATTTGACCTGGTAATGGTGAGTTTTAATCACCAGATATTCATTTAGTGAGTCATAGACAACATAGAACTCGATCATGAACTCCACTGTTCCATGATACCTTTTCACTCGGTTTTTTTCGATCCACATTCTCGTTGTTCAATGGTTCTCTTTATCATAACGACTACATTATATTCAGTTCTCTTTTGCTATTCATCTCATTGTGCTAATGTAGATGGCTTCTTGGGCCAACAAACATCTGTGTCAGGCTCTATAATAATGATGATAACAGTTGACTGAGAACTTGACATAAATTTCTGTAGGCTCAAGTTACCACATCTAATGTGACTAGAAGTCTATTAAGAAATCCCTTCTAAGCCATCTTATACAAGTTGTTTAGCGAGAACTAATCGTTGCGTGATCAATTGACCAAACTAAGACATACTACCAAGATTTTAATACTAATCTCTTTAACTGTATGCTCATAGCTTTAATCATTATACTTGATAACATTTTCAGCAATAACACCCATCGCTTGATCATTAAGATGAAGCAAATCAATTTATAGTATTCTATCATTTTTGTCCTAATTTTGTTTTTCTACGTGTAAAATACACTTTTTCCGTCGGCAAGCGTTTTCTTGATGATGAAAGAATTTCACTTAAGCAAAGCACAAGTAGTACTTTATCCACACAATATCAGTGTTCAGTTTTAAGTAGTAGATAACGAATTCTAAGTTGTGTATGTCTCGAATAATCAAGAGAACATTTTACTCGAAAAATCATTATTTACCCCTCCTATCCATTCATATTATGTTACGGACTGACTAATTACATTTCTTCTCTCAACTTGTTTTTTTTCTTTAATGTCTTGATGGGATTAATTAATGAATTAAGAAAAGTACAACTCAGTATATATATATATATATATATATATATATATATATATTTGAACCATAGTTTTTAGTCTTTTTTCAAAAATAAGTACCTCGTACTTTTCAGTCGATTTTGTTAAGCATCCGTATTCCTTATGTAAAATGTGCAAATTGATTAAGAGTTTAGAATTGTCCTTAATTAATATATGGTTTAAATAAGAAATGGTTTTCAGTTTGATAAATGTTCAACGCTATAACTATTCCTGAGTAGTAATAATATTTTCTCAACTCACAATTCGTGTTTTTAATTTATCGTTACTAATGTTATTAGATATGTCAACGTAATGTGTAAACCTTACAAAAATTTTAGTTTACATCTCAAATAATATCCATTGGTGGCAATATATTTACCCCATTTAAATTTTCATTATTCGTCACCATCCATCTATCCGTAAAAGCCATGCTTTCTCTGTCTGTGTTAGTGGGACATGGATTTTGTTTAAGCATGCTCAATGCACGATTGCTTTGGCGCACGCTGATTGGCTGATTCTTATCTAATCAGCGCTAGTCGATACATGGAGAAGACTCTAGATTCTTCTTATGTAAATATACTAACAGTTTTCCTATTTTGCTTCTTGCTTCCAACTAACCTTGTTATTTGGAATATAATCTCCTTCCTGCTCAACCGTGTTTTGATTTGGGGCCTTGTCGAGTGAATCTGTGTCCGCGAATACTAAGCAATAGGATAGCTGGGTTAAAACGGTAAGAGCGAAAATATAACAGTCTGATACCTCATCGTTTTACAATTTGTTTTCTTTATAAATATTTTGTTACAGTTGTTTACTTACTGTAGCCTGTTACCCCTCGTGGAGGAGCATAGACCGCCCGCCATCACTCTCTATCCAACTCTGTACCCTGCAATTGTTTCCAGCTGCTATTTATTCTTTTAATATCTGCCTCCAATTATCGACTCAGTGTATTCTTCGGCATTCATC